AAGCACAATCAATGCTAGTATACACTGGACTGTTCTGATTCATGAAATTCTAAAATTGTGGTTCTCAAAGTTTAATATACATAAGAGCCATGCTGGCAACAATTTCATTTTCCCAAACCTGTTCCAATTCAGTGAATGGGTCCAAAATTCTCTGTTTTCACTAAGTTCCCAGGTGAGTCTAATGTGAGTGGTCTGCTGACCATACTGTAAAGAAAAAATGATCAAGAAAAATAAAAATGAAGGCTATCAGTAAGGGGACATGAGCATGTTCTCCAAACCTTCAACAATATTGTATGGAGAGTAACGGAAGAAATTGGGATACTCACACTGTAAAAGAAAAGCCTCATAAGGGACATATCACTGAAATATACAGAAAGGTCATTTCAATAAAAAAGATGTAGCTTGGTTTTCTCTTGCTCAAGACAGAACTACAGCCATTAGTAGAAGTCATAGTGATGGAGACATCAACTCAATATAAAGAAGACTTTTAATCTCTAGAGCTGCCTAACCATTGAGCAGACTCATCAAGTAGTAATATTCTCTTATTGCAGGAATAGAAGTGGGGATTAGATGACCATCATCAGTGATAACAAGGAAACTCTTGGTTAGGTAGCAATCCCTACAGCTCCTGTTAAACCTGTGCACAACTCCAGTGGTGTCCACTGTGCTGTGATTATTTGCTTATGAGTCTCTTTCCTTGGCTGTGAGCTCATTGTGGCATCAACTCTCATTCTATTCTCATGTTGGATGCTCAGTACACGGTTACCGTGAATCTAATCTCAGAACCTAATAAATCAAGTTCCAGTATCTGCAAACCTGGACTTCTGATGAGTTTCCTGTAACTTCAAAAGAAAATCTGGAATTTATAGCAATCTCCTCTGGGTTCAGAGTGAACCCTTACTAAGCCCCTGCTCTTCTCCTTCAGGAAAGTTTTAAAATTTCCTTTAATGAAGGTCTCACATCTTTCTTTTACATTTTCAAGTAACTTGATTGCTTCTGTGGATGGTAGTGTCTTTCCTAATTCTCATTCTAGTTGGTTATTTCTGGAATGTAATCTAGTATCTAACAACGCCTGGGCTTCCTTGTGAAATATCTCAGTTTTCACAGTTTACAGAGGATTTTACTGGTAGATGATCACATATTTTTAAAATAACGGTAAATTTACTCCTTTCCCCCAATTTTTATACCTCATATTTCTTCTTTTCTGTCATTTGGATTTTGCACGTACAATGTTGAACATACAGGGGACAAGGCATCCTTGTCTTATTCCCAACTTGATTAGAAGCACAACCAATGTTTCCTCATTAGGTTATCTCCTCCCTTCTCTGCATTATGCTTTATGTGCGTTTCCTAGAATGGGAAAAGTGACTCCTATATGACAAGACAGAGATTGGTGGATGAGGAAAACAGCTGTAGGACCATGTTAAGCATGTGACAAATAGAGAGAACCTGGCTCCAAATTCACTAAGGACCAGTACACACACAAGATGAACCTCTTAGAATCCACTGCCCAGATGCTGGCATTATGCCTCTTTCTAATATATGTGTGCACACAAATTAACACTCCCCTAAGAAACATTTATATAACAATAATTCATGTTTAGAAACCTTTTAAAAGGCTATGTTACCTATATATCTAGACAAACTACTTAATCAGCCAACCAAATAGTATCTTCACTTCTATCTTTTTAAAATTTTTTTGTTGATTTTTAGAGAAAGAGGAATGGAGAGGCAGAGAGAGAAATATCAATAGGAGAATAAAACATCAATCAGCTGCCTCCTACACGCTCCCTACTGAAGACTGTGGCCCGCAACCTGGGCATGTGCCCCGACCAGGAATCATACAGGCAACTTTCAGTGCACAGAATGACACCCAACCAACTGAGCCACACCAGACAGGGCTCTTCACTTCCATTTTGATTGTGGGCTGGATAGCACAAAGACGACATATATCCAATAGAAGACAACCAAGCACAACTGCCTACTACTGTGTACGTTAGTACAATCTGAGTGATCAAAGTCCTCTAAGAATGTCTTGCAAAAGCATATTTTATCTCATTGGGTACCCATCTGCTTGTTTAATGGTAAAATGTTGACGTAAGTCCAAGGGTCCAAGGATAGCACTGAGCATGGGAGACCTATTATTCTAAACCGCTAAGGTCAGGCTGGCCTGTTTTCAATTCAACCTGGAAAAGTCTAATCCCGTTCTCTCAAAAGAAGAAAAACAGCCCCACAATTTCACAATCTGGCTCTCCCCATTCTCAGGGCTTGGAAAGAGGCATCAGGACTAATCATGGAACATTCAACTCCAGGTTGTCATGACCTGGCTCTCCCCAGTGTGATTCCTGGGTTGCAGACTAAGTCCTCTATAGTTTTTAGAGTCTCGGGAAAAATAAAATGGTAAAACACCCACAGATAATTCTCAATTTTGAGTGTTTTAGTCTTTCGTTAGTCTGAAGACAATCATGAAGATATTTCATCAGCAAAAATGTATCGATCATTTTCTCATTTACTGTTTCATAGTTATATGGTACATAAATAAAACCATGGTTTCTACCCTTAGGAACATTTGGTGTTATAGAAGTTAAATAAGGAATTATATAGTCTAAAGCAGTACAAATGCCAACAAAAATAAAGGCAAGGGAATAGAAAGATAAAAGCTGATTTACTTTGATTGTTTAGGTTTGATATTCCTTTGATTCATCTGAATTTGTTGATGTCCCCACTTGTGGGGATTTTAAAATGTAAATTTTTCTTAAGTTGTGTTAATACAATTGCCCTGTAGAATTAATTGTATGATTTGTTAATTTAGTCAGCAAGAGTTCAAGTTTCTATATACATCAGGCAACAGATTGGGTATGTGGTATGTAGCAGCGAATTAAACAGGCAGGAATTCCTGTTTTTGCAAGGTTTACACTCAAGCGAATTCAGGTTTCAAACAGTCTTCTTCTCTTGGGATAGACTGCCCCCACTCTTAGAAGATTCCCAGCCCCACAGAAACGTATCTCAGAACCCCCTCCTGCACTCTTCATGACCATGAAGAAATAAATGCAAGGACTAAGGTGGGAATAATGTATCCACAAGCCATCTCTAAACTGCTGTCTCTGCTTTATAATCACATGGCAGATTTCCAGAGGCAGCCGGGATATTAAGAACCGTAAAGTAGGGTTTCTTGGGCTGCGCTAGAAACCCCCAAACTCTTTCTATGACTGTTTCTATGGGAAAGGCCACCCAAGTTCTAAACAGCTGGCTTAGTACACGCGCTGCTGAAGCACACTCTGTAAGCTGTCGACAGCCTGTGCTCAGGCAACTAACTGCGAGCTCAAACAGCTAAAAACGATCTGGCACCCACACAGAAGCTCCTGCACACACATTTTACTTTATAGTTGGAGCCTTTCCATGACACTCGCTAAGGCATAATTATTACGAATGTCAGCCTCGAGGAGGAGCCTTGGAGGCCCTTCCACCAGCTGGAATCGGGACACACACCAGGCTTTAGCTACACGTCTGCCCAGGCTGGTGGCAGACACCTGAATGCAGGCTTCTGAGCAGCCCCTGAGGCAAGGTGTTTATATTTCTCGCAATCCCTAGTTGCACTTCGTTTCTTCCACGTGCAAATCAAAATGCCTCCATTTTCAGCTGCCAGGACAGCTGATTATCGTCACCATCGGAAACAGTAAATGCTTCTCTCAATGAAGGGACTGCTCTTTAGAAATTCCTGCGCATCTCGGGGCACAGGAAGAAAATGTCCTTGACAGTGCGTCGTGGCTACGGGATGAACACACTGACCACACACGTGTCTTTTCACGGCTGAGAACAACTCCAGGCCGGGGTGCCCAGAAAATTCTCAGGGTTTGGAAAGAGGCAGCAGGACAAACCACAGTACATTCAACTCCAAAGTCCCTCTCACCGCCATCAACCAAGGTGATCTTGGGTAAAACACGTCCATGTTCCAGTTCCTTCTTGGTCCTGTTCTCTCCCTGGGATGGCTTCCTTGATCTCACTCCAAGTCTCAGCTTCTTATAAAATGCTGTTCTATGAAGCCTTCCCAGATTCCCTTAAGCCGGTGATTCTCAACCTTCTGGCCCTTTAAATACAGTTCCTCATGTTGTGACCCCCAACATAAAATTATTTTCGTTGCTACTTCATAACTGTAATTTCGCGACCCACAGGTTGAGAACTGCTGCCTTAAGCCAAATCAGCTTCTTTCTTACTCATATCCCCACTCCAGCAGTCCATATCCATTATAACACTTATCACGTGGTATTATTGTTGCATATTTATTATTCTATTTATTTTAGTTTATCATGTTATTTTATGGTCCTCTTAGGGTATCAGGCAATATGTTATCATGCCTACTTCTAATATTAATAATATCATTAGTAATATTATGGGTGTTTACTACTTGTCAGACTATGTGAATACAATCTCCAATTGTTACAAGAGCCCTGTGAGATGGACATTATCATTCTTCCCACTTTTTTCTATACTTGAAAAATGTAAAACCAAGAGAGATTATATAAATGGTTAGTCATGGCACTGAGAGTCAAAATAAAGTCTATTTTTCCTTAAAACTTATGCTTTTTCCACTACCCTAAAATGCTACCTATAAATAATAGTAGATGGTATTTACTAAGTGCTTACTAGATGTCAGGCTCTGTACCAGGTGCTCTCCATATATTAGCTAATGTGATCCTCACAAAAACCCTGTAATGTAGATATCGTAGTTATAATCTCAATTTTACAAAAATGAAATTAAGGTTCAGAATGGTTAAATGACTTGCCCAAGGTCATAGAACTATGAAGAATGGATATGAATGTAGGTCAATCTCCCCTTACCTAATACTCTATTCCATGCCCAGATGGTAGATTTTCTTTCATCTTTGCAAACACTGCACAGGTTTTCAAGAATAACCTGTCTGGAAAATGAAAACTGGACTGTGACCCAGTTTTCTGACTCACACAAATAAGCCAAACCTATCAAGCCCCTAGGCACTCACCTTAGCACGTGTGTGGACCCATTAATGGTTGTGGTTGAACAGGGGACAGTCTGGCCCAGAATGGAAGGTCTTCGGTAACGCTCATCATCACAGCAGAGGATGATGAGAAAGGCACGTCGAAAAGACTTATTCAAGAAAGCGTAGAGGAAGGGGTTCAATCCAGAATTGATATAGCCGAGCCAGAGGAAAGCTGTCCACACCTGCCCAGGGACCGTGTAGTCTACGAACGGATCCACAATATTGGTGACAAAGAATGGGGCCCAGCAGAGGCAGAAGCAACCCATGATGATGCACAGGGTCTTGGCTGCTTTGGTCTCTGTCCTCATGCGATGAGTGCTATGCTGGTCTGTTGGCTGGGGCCTGCCCTCCGAGGGGGCTCCTGCCCGTTGTAACATCTGGATCTGGTGGGCGTGCTCCTTGGCTGTGACATAGATGCGGTAATAGGCCAGCACCATGAGGAGAAACGGGATGTAGAAGGCTACCACGGAACAAGTGATGGCGTAGGGCTTGTTGACCATGAAGATACAGTACGTGGAGTTAGAGTTCTGAGGGAACTTCCTTTTTTCTATCTGAGAGGTGGAGGGAGAGAGAAAGGGAAGAAAAAGGTGAAGGGGAAAAAGTAGGAGGGGAATGAGGAAAATTGTAAGAAAAGAAAAAGGAGGAAAAAGAAGAGAAAAGGAGAATATGAAGGTAGAAAGAAGGGGAGGGGAACAGGGAAGGAAAGAGAAGAAAGAATAAATGAATTAAGGAAAAAGCAAAGAAAAGGTTTATCAGCACAGCTTTCTTCTTTTTAAAAAAAATAAACCGACAACCCTGATGGTAGAGAAAGAATATGACCAGATCCCAGGGCTCAGAGGGCTTATCTATCCAAGAGGGGCTGAAACCCCAGTAAAGAGTAGAAATAAAATAGGGACAAAAATCACTCTTCATTCTATCTACCCAGCCAATAGTGGAGCCCTGCCTGTCCTCCCGTCTTGTATGCTTGCACACAGTAGATTTGGTAGTAAAAGTCTTCAAACTGTGACTCATCTTCTTCAAGACTGTGTTGGCTGTTCTTATCATCTCAACAATCCCCATATGAAATCGATCATTAGCTTATCAACTTCTATAAATATCTTTAAGGATTTCAATTGGAGTTAAAACAGAATGATTGAGGAAAACGGATATCTCTACAATGTTAAGTCTTCCCATTCACAAACATGATAATCCTTGCCCTTTATGGAAGTCTTTAAAATTTCATTTTAGTATTATTTAATATGTTTTGTATAAATGTCTTGTGCATCTTTTGTTAGGTTTGTTCCTGAGTATTTGACTTTTTATTCTATTGCAAATGGTAGCATGTTAAAATTATAAACCCTAATTATTTGTTGCCAGGAGGTAGAATTCAATGATTTTTTTTTGTATATTGACTATGTAGCCAACAACTTTGTTTAATGAATTACTAATATCTCATCTCTAGATTCTTTTGAATTTTCTCCATGCACACTCATGTGATCTGTAACTAATGACAATTTCCTTTCTTCCTTCCTATTATTAATAACATCTTTTCTTGCATTATTGAACTTGACAAGTCCTCCAGTAAAATTCTGAATAAAAGTGGTAAGAGTGGACACCACTTTTACATTCCTAGTTTTTGGAAGGGAGCTATCGATATTTTACTATTAAGTGTGATACCTTTAAGTTTTTTGTAAATGCTTTTTATTTGATTGAGAAAGTTGAATTTTATGAATTTTAACAAGTCATAAATGGATATTGAATTTTGTCAGTGCATTTTTTGCAACAATGAGATGATCATGTGGGTTTTCCCTAATACAGTGAATTACATTGATTGCATTGCATTCCTCACTTGCATTGGATGCTGTGGTACACTAGATCCCTTTTGCAGGATTGAAGGTCTTTACTCCCAATTATGAATTCTGCAGGATGAGCTCTTAATTATCAGCCTTCTCTGGGAAGAGCCCTTGGCTAAAGAGAGCTGTGTAACAAAATGACACTTCTGTACCTGAGGCCAGCCTGCATCCAGTGTGAATATTACACATAAATGAAGATAGGAATATAAAATATATACAACACACATATCTTATTACTTGTGTGATTTAGTATCTTGTCCTATAGTCTATTATAGGGTTATAGTATATCTTTCTATTGAATTGACATTTTATGATTATGAAATATCTCATTTTATCTCAAGTAATTTAACTTGCCTTAAAATTATTTTATCACTGATAACAGTATAGCTATACCAGCTTTCTTTTGGTTAGTGTTTGTATACGATATTTTTCCATTATTTTATTTTCAATGTTTCTGTCATCTTATATTTCATGGGCCTCTCTTACATGCAGCATATATTATATATTGATTGGTTGGTGAAAATATTGTGACCAGAGACTTGGAGAAAACTAACCTTATATTTCTCCAAGGAGCAAAGATTTAGTATTTGCTAATTCAGTGTTTGTGGCAAATAATTACTGCAAATAATGAAAATCAACTGTATACGTATTGTGAACACATGGGTTCTGCTAGCTTTTCTCTGGGAAGATTCAATGTGCAAATGAGTGGAAAGCTATAAAATGCAGTCACAACATCATGGAGCAAATACTAGGCATGTTGACACTGAGATGCCACACCTTCAGTTCCACAAAGTAAATAGGGGATGCCTCACTCATAAATGGGCAAAAATCCCCTAGGTTATTTCCCTCAAAAGTCTACATATGACTGTGCCCTTATTAAAAGTTCTGATGCACAAAAGCTTATGCTTCCACAGGTTTTATCCATTAAGGAGTAAGTTAGTACAGACAGGAGGAGCACATACACTGGTTCCCAGTAAGCTTGGGCTTAGATATAGTGACCACCCCTCTCAACCAATGTAACTTTAGCTAATAACTTCACCTCTCCGATCCTCATTTCCTGAAGATAATAATAGGATATACATAGCCTTGTTGTGGGGCCTCAGTGAGGTTCATAAGAATAGGGACACTATTAACATGGGGCTCAGTGCACAAGAAGTGTTCATTTGTTGGCCATTATTATATTGGTTGTTGGAAACTTGAATTTCATTTCTCCCCAAGAATGGTAAAACTGAAAGTTTGAAAGAAGAGGGATAGAATTCAAGAAAATATCCATACAGTCTCCCTTGTATGGGTCCCCTTTTACTTCTCCACTCCTCTGTCCCCAGCATTGCTCTCAGAAGCCCTGGGAACTCTTGTTCTGACATACCACATGCAAATCCTCGCCCAGCCTTGGTTTGGGTATTCCTTCCTGGACAAAGAACAAGGCAAGATTAGGGGCTAGAAATGGGGTGAAGAGAAGAAGGGGCAGCTCCTATTCTAACTGGTTCTGTTGGCCAGAGCTTGCTCTCAATCTCTCCTCACCGTTCCCCTTCCTACCATGAGATGGTCCTGGGATCAACTTTACAGTGACAACCTGACTGCTTCCTTAGGGAATGTATACCCCTGGTAATGAATCCAGACCATAGCCTTTAGTCACAAATTTAGTATTGCAAAGATAGTATGTCAGAGCTGGATGACTCTCAAAGACCACCTAGACTGGGGTTGGTAAATGCCTGACACGTGTGCCATCATGTTATTCCTCTAAACCCTGGAAGACACTATTCTCCACTGGGGACCAGTGGATCACAGCCTTGAAGGAAGTGGGTCAGTGAGAGCGCTGACGTGGGGTTCAGCTCTCAACTCCTGTCCAGGGCTCTCGTTGCTCTCCAAAAGCTTCGACTCACATGACAGGTTTTCTGTGGATCACTGAAAGCCTCAAAGACTGCCAGCATGAAATAGGATGAAGACCTCTCGGGTCACTGGAGTCAGAATGCTAAGCTTCAGACACCTGTTCTGCTATTTAGTAGACATATTAGCAGGCCTGTTACTTCACCTTTCTGAGTCTGACTTTTCTCATCTAAATGAGATCAGCAAAGGATGCTATCAGGATTATCGGTAAAGTATTTCACATACTTTATGGCATACAGTAAGCATTCAAAAATGCTAGCTTGCTTTTTTGTTGTTGTTATTCTTGTCATGGCGCAGACCACTGTCAGAATCTTTCTCAGAATATCCACCCAACTCGATACTGTTTGTTTATGTAGAATCCCAAGCAAACAAAGGGAATCGGCCAGTGGGATCTGCGTGGGGTCTACTCACCAAATCAATTATGCCAATGTTGTTCCAGCCTTGCATTATAGGAAGAAAAGAGATAAACATGGGGATGACCCAGCAGCCTCCCAGCATTAACGCGATGCGCAGAGGGGTCATTCTTGTTCCTATAGCCCAAAGGCTGGCAGCAGATCGGCATAATACCGGAGAGAGAATGGGGAGAGGGGTCCCAAGGGAGAGGAAGAAAGAGGGAGAAGGAGGGAGAATAATTGATGGGAGAGGAAGAGGGAGAAGAAGGGAGATACGAAAAGGAAATATTGGGAAAGAGAAAAATTGGAGGGGGAAGTTGAAAATAAAAATAAGGAAGAAAGAATAGAAAAAATAATGGGGGAGAAGGGGAAAGTGGGTAGCAGAGGAAGGGAAGGAGGAAGGGGAGAGACAAGAGAAAATAACAGAGGGAAGAAAACAGCAATTATACAATAAAATATGTTATATTGGCCAATGAGTTTCTGCTAATATAAATATCAACTTTCGATCACATCTGAGAATCATTTCCTAGAGCCAGCTCCATATCCCTCTTCCACTGCTAATGCCCGCACAGCTGAGGGTCTTCCCTGTCTCAGACACAGCTCCAACAGTACTCTCATGCCTGGGAATTTGAGGAACTTCAGTCCAGCCCTCTGGGCCTCAATGTCCTGGCATCTGTGATCCTCTTTGATAACAACTTGAGGTGATTCACACGTGGCCTGACATCTGAGCTCTAAGAACTGTCCAGATCTGTCACCATTCTCTTGATCCCCTGCCTATACTAAAGTGATGCTAAGTCAATGTTCCTTACATTGTGGTCCAGGGATTCCACCCTGTTCCCCTGCATGAGATTCACCTGAGGAGGCCTATTTAAAACGCAGATACCAAGAATCTCCAGAGGAAGGACCTGGAGTCGGCATTTTGACAAGAGGAAGTCATTACTGCTGTTCGCTAAGTATGCCCAGCCCCTCTTTCTGGGCACATGCGCTTCCTGGCCTCCTTGTGGTTGGGTAGGGCCAAGTGACTGGTCTGGTCAATGAGTTGTGAACAGAGTTGACACGTGTTACTTCTGGGCTGGACTATTTCATTGTTTTTCTAAGAATGCAAAATTTCAACTATTTCCTGTTTCATCATTTCCTGCCTACAGATAGAGACCACCTCACCCACTTTATCAGGTCTTCTCTTCCTCACAGGGTTCACTGCTCATCTTTCTTTGAGTCTGTGTTCTGCCTATGATACTGGCTTTCTTCTTACCTCCACATAGAGATGCAACCTGCCCCACTCAATGATCATGTCTCTAACTCCAAGACTGTCCCCTGCATGCCATTCCAACCTTAGAGATCACCACTTCCATGTCCAGGCAGTTCATGGAATTTGACAACAGGCAAAACATCACAGTAGATCTATCAGCTATTTGTCTTTGCAAGAATCTAAAGTGCAAAAAGACAGCCTGAAGGCTAAGTCTTCTCTTTGAGATTTTATACCATTTAATGATGAGCCACCCCCAACCCCCCTCATTTCATGTAGTTCACTTTGTTAATTTTCCCCACCTCTTCTTTTCTTAATTCAAAGCATAACTAATATAACAATGGCAGTATTTTTGAAGAGGTGGTGGTGGGAGGAGTTGAAGAGGGTGGAATGAGAAGGAGAGGCCAATGTTAAAGCATGATTAGTGGGTGCTTTGGGAGATGGGGGGCGGGGATTATACTTTTCCTTCTAAGGCATCAGGGAGCAGCTGGCTACACTATGCTTCCTGTGGCCAGAGAGACAGTGGGTGTTTTGACTTGCAACAGAGTGCAAGGAACAAGAGCCCGAAGAATGGAAGAGGGGATTAGCCAGGAACTCTTTCTTTTTCTTTTTAAAAAAATATTTTTTTTATTGATTTCAGAGAGGAAGGGAGAGGGAGAGAGAGATACAAACATCAATGGTGAGAGAGAATCATTGATTGGCTGCCTCCTGCACGTCCCACACTGGGGATCGAGCCCACAACCTGGGCATGGGCCCTGACCGGGATTCAAACCATGACCTCCTGGTTCATAGGTTGACGCTCAACCACTGAGCCACGCCAGCTGGGCAGGAACTCATTTTTTTTTTCTGTGTGTGAAACTGACATGATAGCCAACTCTAACTAAATATAACCTGGTAACAGAAGAATGATGATTATCTGGAATTCCCTCCATGCTCTTGACTTATAAGAAAAGCACATTAAATCTGAGTGGCAATTTTATTTTCTGAATGGCTACACCAATAATCATTAGAGGCTTATTATTAACATAGAGATGGTGAATTAGGTGTGTATGGAAATATATTTTTTTCCAAATTTTGCTCCCTCCCTCATTTCCTGCTAGAGGACTAGATTAGACATTTTGTTGTGTCCATTTAACATCCTTCTTTTTTCTTGGTAATAGCATCCCTTGTCTTTGGGGAATTATCTCTTGTCTGTTGATGGGGTGTTGGGAAAGCAAATTATCGGATTCTGACATCTCCAGCCAAGGAGTCACCCAATCAGTGTCTCCTGGGATTCTAGACGTCATGCAGAGTGACGCAAAGATGGGACAGTCAGGGACGGTACCCTATTCCCGCAGCAAGTTCCTGGCGGGGCTGAGATTAGCTCCTTTCCCTGGGTTTTGGGGAAGCCATGCTCTTGCCCCTTCCGTTCTTCATTCTGTAACTCTTCCTTTAATTTAATAAGCCACCTTATATGTTGCCAATAAATACTCTTTTTGCTTAAGTTGCTGTTATGGGTTGAACTGTGTCCCCTTCCTCCAAAAGAAATGTTAAAGCTCTAAACCTCAGTAGCTTGGAATGTGACCTTATTTGGCAATGGGGTATATATAGAGCTAAGCAAATTAAAATGAGGTCATTGGAGTGGCCTTCATCTAAAATGACTGATAATCCTCATAAAAAGGGAATTTTGGACACAAAGACAGACATGCACAAAGAGAAGATGGCCACGTGAGGACAGAGGATTGGAATGATGCATCTACAGGCCAAGGAATAGCAAAGATTGTGAGAAAATAACCTGATGTTAGGAAGGGTTCAAGATTATTCCCAAGGTCTTGGTACCCTGAGGCAGCTGCCCTATTATCTTTCCTTGTATCTTTTTAATCTTTGCTTTATAACAAAGAATTTAGAAAAATAAACATCTTTTTGAAGGCTGTATTCAAGAATCTAAATCAAGTAGATGAAAGTAAATATTACTGAATAAAATGATTAATAAAAACTGAATTCCAGTGCTAACTGACTAATGACGCTTCCTTACAAATTCTAACTTTTGTCTGTAAATCAAGGACTAGCTAAAAATCTGATCATTTGATTTTTATCTATTATGGTTGCTTTTTAGTTCCTATAATTGGATTATATTCCCCCTGCTAGTAAGAAAAGTATTTTTCCTACCATGAATTGCCCCCAAAACACATGCATAACACCATTAGACAGAAGTAGCTAGTGAAAACTTGTATGCATATATATGCATAACTCATACACAAAGACAATAGGGTGGTGAAGGCCTGGGGCGGGGGTGAGGGCGGACTAGAAGGGGTCAATGGGGAAAAAAAGGAGGACATATGTAATACTTTCAACAATAAAGATTTTTTAAAAATTTTGCAAGTTCTTAGGAGGTCAGGCAAAACAACCTGGCTGAGTTAATAATAAAAGGTGCTATCCATTTACTTAATAAGGACTCTACCTGTATTGTCTCAATAAGTCCTCACAACTACTTTTGAGATAGGAACTATAAATGTACCCATTTCACAGGTGAGCAAAAAGAAACACAGAAGTGTCAGGATTTGTCTAAGGTCCCACAGGTGGTAAAAACCAGATCTAGCCCAGAGAGTCTGACTCAAGGGCTAGGATGGTACCCTCATTACTATTACTTTACTACCTCACCTAAGTCCCCAAGGGATTATTCTATATCTTTACAAGCCACTTTAGGAACAATCAAACATACACACACTAAATCTCAGAAAGCTGAAATCCCCAGTCCTGTCCACAATGAGTGTATACAAGCCTGGTGAATGCACCAAGGACTGGGAATTCACCATTCTACCATAGTACATTGGGAACTTAACGCGATCCTGAAATTAAGACTGTTTCTTCCAAGACTGCTTTCTGTAATTTCCAGTTTTACCCTCTGGCTACATTTAAAACTTCTATCTCTATTCCTTTTCTGTATAGTGGTCCTATGGACATCTGAAGAGGGCTTTTATATTTTTCTGAAGCCTCACTTTCTATAGGTAGAAACATTCCCAGTTATATTCAACCAGATTCAACCAGGGTTGATTTTGCTTGCCAAGGGATACTAGGCCATGTCTTGAGACATTTATTGTTGTTGCAACTGGGAAGGGTGATGGTCCTGGCATCCAGTGGGCAGAGGCCCAGGAGGCTGCTAGATGCACCGGACAGCCCCCCGCTCCCCCCACCCCCCCAACAAAGAATCAACGTCAGTAGTGCTGAAGCTGAGAAACCCTGGTCAAGAGGAGGTGATTTTTGCTAATGGTAGAGCTCCATGTCCTCTGCATGTGCTGTGGTGTGCCATTATCTCTTAAGAGTGGGTGCCATGATACTCTGGTGTACCCTATACAAATGGGAGAAGACTAGTACATCCCCTTCCACCCTGTCACAGACAGGGGACACCCAGGAGTCCAAGACACCTGCACTCCTTCTAAGAGCAGGGTATGAGGTGAGAAAGTCTTCCCCTAACTGATTTATAAAGTCCAGAGATGTTTGTCTCACTCACCCCTATATCCCCAATGCTTAGTGCAAAGCTAGAGACAGAGTACATACTCACAAAATGGGTTGAATAAGAATAAGCCCATAATCACGACCAATTAAAATCAATTACACTGAATGTGGGACCATGTTTTGGGGATGTGAAAGGTCATATCTAATAGAGCAATGGGGAGGCTTTCTCTAGTAGGTATCTTTTAAGTAGGACTTTAGAGACTAGGTAAGGGTGGTGGAGGAGAAAGTGCAATACAGGTGCGTGGCCAAAGAGACAGAAATATTATATATTTCAAATATATATATAAAGTATTTGTAGATATGGGTTTCATATCAATATATATTTCACCAATATGAAATATATATCTACATAAGTATATTCTTATACCCACATAGCTGGACAGCAGAGTGTTTATAAGAAAGTAAAAGTAAATATGCCTTAAAAGGCTGG